GCTTGCAATATAAGTAGACTAGCGCAACACTTGTATCGCCTCATAATTGTCTAACCGGTTTGTTAAGTGTTGTTGTAGAAATTTTATTAGGCTATTTACCCCTTCTAGCCATTAGGACCTTTCACCTCAGTGCGGGGACTGGGTCAAGCTCATCTCCGGCGCCAGCTTCGAGGTATCGTGTCCCTTCTACCTTGCTGCTTCACCCGTCACTACATTGGGCTCCAGGGGACTGCAGTACCGTGCAATAGTATCTCTTGCCTGTGCATAACTCGCAGGGCACATGCGGGCTAGTGAGTGTCAGATGGACATGAAGAGCATCGAGTGCCTCATCTCCATCAGATGGTGAAAACCTTGAAAGGCAGAGTGGGAGGGGCTACGCACTTTGTGCCAAGTGTTAGCTTATAAGGAAAAGTGAATCAGGTTTAACATAAGGCATGGAGGACAATTCATGCATATGCACCGGATGCAAGCAAGTTGGTGTTTGATGTGGTAGCACAGTGAGAGTAGTAGACTACTCTGTGCCGACTACCCTGCGATGCAATATGCACAATCAGCTGTCCGTCTGCTGTTCAGGCTGTCCGGCTTGTTAGTTTAAGCGGCGACTACATCAACTCCGGGCGAGGTTTATCCGGTACTTGGCGACAGTTTTCGGGTACTCGGCGATACGTTTCGGAAGCCAATATTTTCTTCTCACAACAAACCAGCACTAGCCAGGCTTATCAACCCAGAAACCAACCAGCGAACAGGCTCAATGAGCGAAGAACTGACTGATTGTGGCACTGCTATGACCCACATGTTGTTTACATGTTCATTGTTCATGCAGGATGCTGCTTTTTTTAAACTTCATGCAGGATGCTACTGATGTCAGGAATTAATCTCTCACTTTTGCTAATGCATGACAACTTCAAAGCCTCCTAGAAGTAAAATTAATGATTAGTCCATCCAATATTTGAGTTATTAGATAAATAACAAATGTTTGTGGTGGGTATATATTTCTGCTAAGTGAAAAGTTATATTTTTCTATTTGCATTCTGCAATGATTTTACCAATATAAAAGAAAGAACTCGTGTTATACACAAGTATTGCTTTGTTTTGATTATTATCATTTGATATTGCAGTTAGTTTCCTGCTTTCACTAGAAGTATCTGCCAACCTGTTAACTTCTGAATTCTGTTGCATCTGAAAAACTTTGTTTATTCTCTAGAGTTTGATCCTTAGGATTGCCCACCGGATTGCTCAAAGCCATGTGAGAAAGTGTGCAATGGTTGGTGGAGAGCAAACACAATCTGATCCCTTACGTGGTAAACATGAGGTATCAGTAGCTTTGGTTCTTTACTTATTTTATTTACTCTGGTCCTGTTATTTTCTTCATGAGCTTCATTTTCCTTATGAGATGAATCTGCCTTGTGTAGGATGGTGTAATTACAGAGCGGTGCTATGGATGTGGTCCATACTTGCAAGTTTGCCCATGTGACAGAATAAGTTAGTGATGTGTCTTTCTTTTTCCTTCAGTGCTTCTTCCTTCAGTTCTTGTCCTATATATGACGCAGCCATGGTTTTCGCATGTGAGGATCTAACACCAGGCTCACAATTTCCACAAGGACAAGGAGACATTGAGAGATGTTGTCGATAAACTTGTTTTTGACAAATTAACAGCAAGTTTTGACCTTCTGATAAGGTACTCTCTTGGCTTTAAATGCTATTGATAAACTTATCTCTGTGTTCATCTAGACCAAAATCAATGGATATTAGGAAATCAGAAAAGCCTGAAGAGTCGATTTATTTTATTTTTATGATTTATTTTTTCTAGATGCCATCGTAGCGTTAGCACGGGCAATATACTATATCGATAGTACTAGAGTTGACAGTCAAATCAATCTAACAAAAGTAAACTAAGGGGCCAAAAAAAGTCTTATTCATATTTTTATGTGATTACAACATGACATAATCTTCAATTTTGTACCATTCACAAACATTTTATTATATTAATTATATATATAAACTCAATAAATTTATGAAACTACAAAAATAATGTTCAAGAAAAATATATTATATGACTTTCTTATTATAAAATAAAAATTTTATTAAAACAATTGATGTAGAATTTAAAAAGTTTGACATCATTTTATTGTCCAAAATGTTAAGTGTATATGATAGAAGGAATTATACATGATTATATAAACTTTTTAGTTTTGATTTGTGGAATTGCATTGGCAAGGTGGGAGAGGCATGGTGGAACCATCAGCGCCCACTTTCTTTGACATACAATTGTATCAAGTCCAATTTTGACCTCTCAAGCTCTTATGTTTTTCTAACTTTGACCACCACGAATAATACTTCATAGGTATATACCTCAAACATTAATAACGTTCAGTTTTGACCCCATCCCTAGTTTCAGTGGTTTAATTTTAAAGCGACGTGCCCGAAGTTTTGATGGCAAATTGGAAGTTTTTCTTTTTCCATTCAGACCATTCATGGCCTAGTTAGCAAAAAATAAGAAAAGCAAACGTGGAGGGAAAATGTTGCACATCACTTCTAAACCACCTAAGACGATCCCAGAGGGTCAAAATATTAGTTGTAGTGCCAGATTTAGAAGGTACTAGAGTTCAGGGTCAAAATCATACAAAAGAGTTAAAAATACCACAATGGACCTATTCTTGTTTTCGTTTAGACCAAGTCCATTTTTGACCTCTTAAGAGCAAATCCAACAGTTTGGCTAAAATTAGTAGCTAAATTTCATACTTTAGATATTTTGTAAAATAAAAAACTCCTAAAAAAAGGGGTCTACAACAGCCTTACTAAAATAGCCGGCGCCCGTGGTTGGCTTTATATGGCCACTGATAATGAAGGGACAGCCAGGTCCTATTTTACAAAGCCAGATATCACATCTGTTGGAGCCTACTTTTTGCTATACAAATTCTAAAATAGCCTCCAAAATAAGAATAGCCAAGCTGTTGGAGTTACTCTAACTCCTATGTTTATCTACTTTTGAACACCAGCTCTAATATTGTCTACATATATATACCTCATGTACCAATACCATTCCAATTTGACCCAATCCTATTCTTGGTAGTTTTCAAGATTTGCTTACAAGTTGGTAATTTTTGGCCACCTAGATCGATCATGACTTCACCTAGGCTTACATGTCATTCATCGCCTAGTTGGCAAAAAACATACTACAACCTGGAGGAAAAACATTGTCATAACACTTCAAAACCACACAAAAAGGCAACAAAATCTCAGGGGCCGAAATAGAATAATATACTCATAGTTGTGATGCTAGATTAAATGGTATTAGGGTAGAGTGTCAAAATCAAACAAATGAGTCTAGGGACCAAAATGGTCCTTTTCTATGTGTTGTGCACATTACATAATCTCTGGGTCGTGCCTTTGATAACTTTTACTTTATACCATGTATATAATTTGATAAATATATGAGACTACATATTTAAAATAGTGTTTCAGATGAGTTTCTTGTAATGGACCAAAATATTTTATTAGCCTATTGGACTTTCCAGAGTTTGACATCATTTTGCCCAAAATGTCAAGTTTTGTGGCCAGAGGAAGTATATTTTTGCAAGTTTACTAGTTTTGATCTGTGGAGTTGCCTTGACAATGTGGGGAATGGGTGATGGCAACCGAGAGTTAACTACACTAAAATGAAAGAAACTTTTTATAGTTTAGCTAGGAAGTCTAGCTAGGATCAACCAAATTGGAGAAATGAAACACAATTGTAACAAAGTCAAACACCTTTACCAAATCTTCTCTATTGTTGCCCTCGAAGGTACAACGTGTGTTGTTGGTTAGCTGGACCGGTGGAAGTTGATACCATTGGAATTTGCACCATTGCTAGCATTGATTTTCCTTCCTTTTCTCATGGGCAAAGGGCTGCCCAATTGCATTTCTTTTCTTAAGGGATATGCTTGTCTCTCTCTCTCCATTTCAAATTATAATTTCTTTTAATTTTTTTAGATACACAGTATATATCTAAATGCATAGAAAAACTATATATAGAAAAGTAAGAACGACTTATAATTTAAAATTGGGGTAGCATATACTGTTAGTACTTACATATAAACATAAACTAGCATTAAACATTCAGACCAAGATGAATATAGAAATACATAGCAAAAATTAGACGTAGAAAGTCAGAATCACTTATAATGTGAAATGGAATATATACTGCTAGTACTGGTACTGCTGTACTACGTACAAACAAGCATAAAACATTCGGTCCAAGATGAATATAGAATTGATGGGGCGCATGGTTTCCACCACGGTGGGCCCACCCATGGACCAACCTCTCATCGATCAGGAAAACAAAACAATGGGGGCCATGGCCATGCCAGTCGATCGAACGCTGCCAAAAGCATGCATGTGCCACATATCATTGGCGGCCATGGCAGGTCGACACGTGGCGGGCGCCGTATCACACCATCTATCCATCCATCCATCCACCCCGTTGCTTTCGTTATCTCCCCCAGCCTCGCAGAGACAGACAGGTTCTTCCCCCCTTGCTGCGTTGCACGCACACGTACGGGTGGGCGCCTTGCGGGGAGCCAGCCAGCTCGATAACTACTACGGCCGCTCGAGGGCAAATTAGTCACAAAACCGGCCGGGTCACAATTTCATTATAAAATAAAATCCACAACAGCTGGAGTACGAAGAGTCCGTCACCACCTTGGCCTTATATACTACTCCCACTATACGGTGAACACGTTGCCAAATATATGCGCAATGACTATTGCGCCCTTGGTCGGACGTCATCCCTAACCATAGTCCACCAAACTGCACCCTCCTCGCTGGCTGCATGGGCTAGCTACAACAAGACAAGGCCATGGCTTCTATAAAACGGAGGCCCAGTCCCTCCATCTCAAAAATTTCAAGACTCATGCCTCTCTCCCTTCCTTATCTGACAACGAGGTTAGGTATAGCTGGCTAGGTAGATCTCGAGCAGTATAATCCAACAGGCAACTGCCGCTAGCACATCGCCGGCGGCCATGGCGAGTGGTGGCGGCAGCAGCAGTAGAGTGATGGGCAACCTGAACCTCCCAGCCGGGTTCCGTTTCCACCCCACGGACGAGGAGCTGATCGTGCACTACCTGATGAACCAGGCCGCCTCCATGCCGTGCCCCATCCCCATCATCGCCGAGGTCAACATCTACCAGTGCAACCCTTGGGATCTCCCTGGTAATTAATTAATTAATTAACCAATCACATTTATTTATTTATTTATTTACAAGAAGCCAACCAACCGCTGCTAGTTCCAAATTGTTTGTGTGCCTAAATTCCATTAGTTTAATTTTTTTTCTTCTTGTTGTTGTGTGGTTCATCAGCCAAGGCATTGTTTGGCGAGAACGAGTGGTACTTCTTCAGCCCTCGGGACCGCAAGTACCCCAACGGCGTCCGCCCCAACCGCGCCGCCGGGTCCGGCTACTGGAAGGCCACCGGCACCGACAAGGCCATCCTGTCCACGCCGACGAGCCAGAACATCGGCGTCAAGAAGGCGCTCGTCTTCTACGGCGGCAGGCCTGCCAAGGGCGTCAAAACGGACTGGATCATGCACGAGTACCGCCTCACCGGCACCGATGATCACAAGAGCAGCACCACCATGCGCAGAGCAGGATGCTCCATGAGGGTGAGACGATTTTTTTTTCAGCCCGGCTGATCGATGATACTACTGGTTTTGCAGCTACTACTTCCACGGCTGATGTTTGCTGAAATATCCTGCATCTAATGTTGTGTTTGGTTTGGTTTCAGCTGGACGACTGGGTGCTGTGCAGGATCCACAAGAAGAGCAACGATTTCCAGTTGTCGGATCGGGAGCAGGAGGGCTCAGCTGTGGAGGAAGTAGATACTCTTCTCATCAACGACAGCACCACCACCTTCAACAACATGAACGACTCTACTGAAGCAACTCTTGCTGGTCAATATCATGAGCAGCAGCAGCAGCAGCTCCATCATCAGACGATGAGCAAGTCGTGCTCGCTCACCGACCTCCTCAACAGCATCGACTACGCGTCGCTCTCGCAGATGTTCCTTGACATCCCTGCTGAGGCCCAGGAGCCGCCACAGCAAAGCCCTTCACTAATCTACCCACCAGTAACACAAACAACACACCAAGTCGTTAATAACTATGACAACAACAACAACAGCGTGATGAACTACAGCAGCCACGTCGGCTTGCCGACTGCGGCAGTAGACGCGGTAATAGGCTCAGATAACAACGGTGTGAAGAAGAGGAAGAGAGTGATGGCCGTGGACAGCGGCGCCGCCGCTGAATCCTTCGATGATGTCAGCAACAGTTTCAGTAATAAGAAACTGAAGCTGCCAGGTGATTCGAGGAGCAGCTACTGCAACCAGCTGCAGCTTGTGGACAGTAGTGCGAGTGGCTTTCATCAGTACAGAAGCCTGCTGCTGAGCAATCCGTTCTTGAACCAGCAGCAGCTGCTACTGAACAGCCACATCGAGATGCAGTAAAAATGCTGAAGAAGGGACGGATTTGAAGAACCTCCTGTAGAAATCTACGACAGACAGACTGAAGGATCATTGGAAGGATTGGAATTGGATCAGAGCAAATTAATTGGAGTATTCTCTCTTTGCTTTCATTATTTTCATGTAAAATTAAGATTGTAAATTAGGGCCGCCGGCCGGGGTGTACTGGAATTCATGTGGCTGTCGATGAATGAATGATGACCCACACCGCCACGTTCCTTGTGGATGTGTAGATATTCTGGCTATATTTTTGCAGCATGCGCTGTTTGAATCCTTATCGGTGTGTTTGGTTCGAGGAAAGAGTGGATGGGATATGGCCATCCATGAATTTCGGGATATGGATCTGTTTGGTTTGGTCAGATGGATGAGATTGCACGGGATGAGAATACTTGACTAATTATATTAATTATTTAAAAATAATAACAACTAATTATACCCTAATAAATATGCACTGACACTAATCTTGTCATTATAATCACTAATTTAAAAAAATATGTTAATTAGCATTATACTACTCTAATTGTCACATAAAACATGCGCTAATCAACATATGGATATTCTCATCCACCAGATTTTTGAGGACCAGGATATTTAGTATCTACTCAGAATATTTTCTGTCGTGGATATCGAGATTCAGCTTGTCTATCCAACCAAACACCCTGTATTCATGGATATCCATGTCACCGAACACACTCTTGGAGACGGACAAAAGCTAGAGAACTGGATTATATTAATATTATATTCCAGGGAGCTGGAACCGGAATATACCTAAATCATGTTAGGCTCTTGGAGACTGACAAAAGCTAGAGAACTGTTTATATATTAATATTATTTTCTCAGGAGCTGGAACTGAATTTTATACCTAGTTGCGTTGCTTCCTGCTGATGCCTTTTGCAGAGATGGACGGTTCCGTACTTAGTACGTAGATCTAGCTAGTTATATACTCGCTTGATTACCAACGTGTAGCTACTTCATACGTGTGTAATGATTTTTAAAGAGATGTATTATTCAAGTGTTACATGTTCGTGTGGATAAAATTGCATGGTGGCTACGGCTAACAAAAAAATGTAGGGACAAATGATGTTCTTGCCCCTACTGTGAAGCCAAATTGTGATTTTGTCTATGTTTTTTCAACTATGTTATGTTACTTTCACACCCCAAATGAACCGTTTTCCCCTATTTTTTAAAAAACTTCGTTAGTTTGAATTGAAATAAAGGAACTAAAAAATGAAAACATCTAGAGAAATTGGTAAAAGAATTATGAGTGAGGTTTGTAATTTCTATTCATGTACTTTCAGATTTTTAAAATATATATAATTAATGTTGTCAAATTTTCCTCAAATTTGAAATGTATGCAGTTTTTGTCAAGCTTTGTTTTCAAAATTGTTTCGGTACATGTAAAAATGCTCTAAATGTTAAAATAGGGGCTAACTCAAGGAATATATGCATGATATATGTCACTATGTATATGGACCATGTATATACAAGAAGCGACGAGCACAACAATTTCCATGTCAAACTTAACTAAGGCCCAACTATAAACACATTTCAAAAACTAATATATGCACTATAAAAGTGAAAAAAAACATGAATGCTGTTGGAAAAACATATAAAGTAAATGGTAAGCAAAGTATAATGACAAATAATGTAGATAATTTAGGCACATATTTAGATGAGCTTATTTTAGGTTATTCTTAATTAACAATGGTTGATATGTGTACTTTAGATGCAAATTTAGGTGCTTACTCTAGATTTATTTCTTTTTTTTGAACTTTACTCTAGATTTATTTCTAACAATAGCATTGGTGGGTAACTTAGGTGAATACTTAAGGGTTATTTAAGGTTATTTTTTCATATTGGCATATAGAGTAATTACATATAGAGGCTTAAGTGGTTCCTTTATGGTTTTTCTAATAATAGCATAGGTGGACAACTTTTTTTTAGAAATATAATAGTTACTGTTATCAATGAGGATTTCTAGGATTCATTTATTTTTGAAACTTAAGGCTCCAAAGTAGTACCAGTAAGATGCCACATCACAACTTTCTTGCTCATCTTTGTCTCTGCAAAAGGCAGTCCAAAGTAAACACAAAATACTCCCGGACAAACTAGCCAATTTAATTTAATCCCTGAGAAGTCCAACCAAATGACGGGCTATTAATCGTCGGTTTGTTCATAAATTCAACGTTGACAGACAGACGCGCCTGCCGCAGCTGAACCTATGCCCCAATCCCCATGCGTGCATGCGTAGGTGGACCAATGCTAGGGCAAAACGTCACCGACGGAGCTACTGATATTTTAGTCGCCGCACGACACCGGAAAGACAACGACGGTGGCGGCGGCGGCGGCGCACGCTGCTCGACCGAATGCATCTATAGCCCATGTTTTTCAACCCAAAATCCCAAAAAAAGTGTTACAGTAGTCATCACATCGAATATTTGCGGTCCGTGCATAGAGCATTAAATATAGACGAAAAAAAAACTAATTGCACAGTTTGGTGGGAAATTGCGAGACAAACATTTTGAGTCTAATTAGTCCATGTTTAAACACTAATTGCCAAATAAAAATAAAAGTGCTATAGTAGCCCAAAATTCCAACTTCCTAAAACTAAACGCGCGCTATACCACTTGCTGGTTATTTATTTATATATAAGCATGCATGGTTGGTGATGGTCCACATATGACATGCATGCTCCATCAGTAGTGAGATAAGCACGTTTGGTTGATCCTAGAGTATACCCCATTTGGTTAAGGAAGTCTCCTCATTGGAGACAGCGAATTTGTTTATGCTTAGCCGTCTAGCTTAGTTACATCTTTCAAACCATATATTGTACCACATGACAAGAATTTCGTGCTGGTCATCTACCTCTAATCCTCTATAAAAACCATGCTTTTGAAGCGATCACACGCGAACACATTAAACTAGCTAAAGCATGATGTCACATGTTAAGCCTAACTGTGTACTATTGGTACTTATTCCTGCATTAGCTCATGCATGAGCTGGAGAAGATATCACTGCCTATATAAAAAATAAAATATATATAAAAAGGTGATGACCGATGAGAGAGCGAGCTAGTAGATAAGGGAGGAGCGTGGTAAGGGTCCAAATCCGTTTGCTTAAGTCACGCCCTAAGCATTATCTCTAATAAGCATGCTTATGAAAAGCTATATTGAAAGTTTTGGGGCTTACTAGCACTACCGGAAACTAGGTGTTTGCCGAGTGCAAGAATGTTTGCCGAATGCATTATATCGGACACTCGGCAAAGAAGATATTTGCCGAGTGCTTTAAAAAAACACTCGGCAAAATAATTGCACTCGGCAAAAAAGGCAAAAAACACTCGGCAAACCAGAAAAAACACTCGACAAAAGCTAGGCACTCGGCAAAGAACCGCCACGTGGATAACCGTTGGTCCGTGTGCCGTCAGTTAGTATGTTTGCCGAGTGTCCGTTAGTGGAAACACTCGGCACTCGGCAAACAAATATGTTTGCCGAGTGTAAATATTTGGCACTCGGCAAAGAAATATATTTGCCGAGTGTATTTGTTTGGCACTCGGCAAAGAAACAAGTTTTTCTCTCTTCTGATCATGAAATTTTTCTGCTCTCCACATACAACATGTGGTACTCCATATTAAGATTTGGTATATTTTTGGACCAGTTTGCTATATTTAATTAATTTATTGTATTTCAAGGAATTTTTTTGTATAAGTCAAATTTGAACTGCAAGTGATTCAAATAATAGAATAAAATGAGTAAAAAATGATATTCATGTTATTAAGTCCATTGTGAGGCCTTTCCCGGAAAATGAAAAGAAATTTCGAACATCTTGTTCAGGAAACACAACCACGAACGTGTGGCCGAATGGTTTTTAAATTCTAAAAAAGCAAACGAAGTCTGAAAATCATGAGATTTGTCATGATGTGATGATATCATACGTAGAGGCTATGGTAAAAATTGAGAAGGTTTCGTACAATTTGTCACGTACGATGTTTACAAACCGAAGCATCTCGGAAGAAGAATCTTAGCGTTGATAAGGATTCGATAAGATTTGGAGTCAAAGTGATGTTTGAATTGGGGTTTGGCTTCAAAACTTTTTGTATAGGCAATAGAGAACATAGATTGTTTCATGTGAATTTTTGTAATTTTTTGGATCCGTTTGATAATTTTAATTTATTAAGTGCAATTATAGAATTTTAATTGATATAAATTAAATTTGAGCTATAACTGCATAAAATAAAAGAATAATATGCCTAGAAAAATTAAATATATATTGTTGAGTCAATTTGACGAGGTATTTTCAAAGTACATTGAAATAAATTGAGAAAAACACATCCCGAAAAAGAAGGAAAATGAAAAAAAAATAGGTTTGCCGAGTGCCCATTATCTGGCACTTGGCAAATCTAGCGTTTGCCGAGTGCCAAACGTGGGACACTCGGCAAATGCCCTCACCCGGCCCCACACACGCACAGTGGTCTAGGCTTTGCCGAGTGCTAGATCACGGGCACTCGGCAAACACATTTTTTTTTTTTTTCATTTTCCAACCCTAAACTACTATGCGTGTGTGGGGCCAGGTGAGAGGGTTTGCCGAGTGTCCCACGTCTGGCACAAGGCAAACGCCAGCTTTGCCAAGTGCCAGATCATGGGCACTCGGCAAAGCATCTTAATTTGGTAACAAGCGTTGGCACTCACACACACCCTCACACACACACGCACTACCTCAGCCACACCCGCCGCACCCTCAGCCGCACCGTGCCCCTGTGCCACCGGCACCTCCCGCGCCCCTACGTTGCCCCGTCGCCGCCCCGTGCGCTGCCCCATCGCTGCCCCGTGGCCCGTCCCCCTTCGCCGCCCCGTCGCCACCCGTGCGCCACCCCCTATGTCACCCCATGGGCCGGCTGTCCCCTAGTTGCCCTGTGCGCCCTCCCCCCGGCGCCCTGTCCCACGGCCACCAGCCCCTGCGCCGCGCCCACCGGTGCCTCGCCATGCCCG